AATACTCAAATAGGACCATCTTCCAAATTTGCATTTCCTACTTGCCAAATAAATGTTTGACTGGTAAATATATATATATATATGAGTGTGTGTGTGTGTGTGTATACATGTATATACACATACTTATACATGTATATACACATGTATATACACATACTTATACATGTATATACACATGTATATACACATAAAAATCATTGCATCGTACTTTTTTTGTTTGTTTTTAGGTTTTTGACGCAGGGAATGTGCACTCAGAGAATGACAGAAAGAGAGAAAGTGAGAAATCAGTCACGGGGAGGTGGGGAATGTCAATCCCTTCCCTTCCATTCTCCTCTCTGGATTAGGGACATGCACACACACCCTTCATGACTTTCAAGCCCCTAGGTCCAGGACCCAAATATGGTCGACCAAGCGGGAACCCAGCACCTTCACCACGCCACTTGCTGGCCTCAATTGCACTGTTAATGGATGAATTGTATAGTACGTAAATTTTTCCTCAGTAAAGCTACTTAAAAATAGAAATTTTTGCAGCATTGGGATGAGCCAAGATTGCTTTTTTAAAAAATAATTATTTATTTAAGTTATTATTAAGCTTAATTTGCTGAAATGTGTACTCGCCAGAGAAAGAAGAGAGAGGAAGAGGAAAAGTGAGAAAAGCAGGCAGGCCCAGTCTCTAACAGCAGGTGGCCATGTAGGAGTGCAGTGCCTGAACCACCATACCACTTGCTGACCTTGGCAAATATTTCCTAAAAAGATACAAAATTTGGATAGGTCATCCAGGGACATCTAGTGGCATCCTGTGACTGAATCCCACATGGCCAGCTGCACTGCTTGAGTCTAGAACTTGGCAGTTTGAAAAACACACTGGACATATGTGCATGCATGCCTAAAATCCTGAAAGGAGGGATAAATGCAGGAGAAGAGATTATGGCATGACCATTCCCCAAGCTCCAAGCCCCCTTGCTTTCTCCTTCTCTCTCTCTCTTTCTCTCTCTCTTTGTGTGTGTGTATGTGTGTGTGTGTAACTTGGAGAGAAATAAGGAGAGAGAGGTGTTCTCTAAGTATTGAATTACAATGCTTCTGCAGCCTCTTCTAAGGCCAGTGTGGCCTGTGCTTGCCAACTAAAGTCCATATCCGAAGAATTTAACATATCTCTCTCTTGCAAGGCGGCAGAGGAAGTCCTTCCTTAACAAGAGGTCTGTGCTTTTTGAGAGATAGGAGTCATGGAGAATTCTTCCTTACTATATCAGAGCAAATGACAGTCCGGAAAGACCTGCCCATATTCAATAGCAAGCTACACTCAACCAGGTATACTACAGAAAAACAAAAGGAACCAAGTACTCAACCTGGAAAACAAAGCAAAAACTAAACAACAAAATCTTCTCCTGAGTGCCTATTTTATGAAAGACTGTGATAAGAATGTGAACAAAACAAAACAAGAGGAAGCTCAAAGATAAGAGAATGAAGCAACAGAACTTCTAGAATGCTGTTAATAAGGATGGTGGAAGAAGTTATCCTTGGTTTGACCAATTTTCATGCAGAGGCATTTAGTGTTTTACTCTGTATTATAACTTTGGATATTGGTTGTAATCCATTATTCTTTCTTGTGTTAAGAAAATAACATTCATTTTTAAATTGTTTTTAATAAGGAATGGTTAAACATTGATTCAGTCCATTTCAGCTGGCATAAACAAGTTATTTTGCAAGGCTTTTTTTTTTTTTTCTTGTTGCATCACACTGCAAAGAATCTCCATGCAATCCTCAGAACCTGTCCACGTGAATGGTGAGTGAGACATTTCATCACACTCCCCTTTAACAACCAGCCTTCCTGTCATATAGCAAATTCAATGAGTCACTTTACAAAGGCAAAGCTTTCCACTGCTGGCATCTACAGGAGTGCTAACACTGGGGCTGCAGGCTGTGTAAACACCCTATCCACCTAAATGTCTTGAACGTAGAAAGAACACGAGCAAAACTGGGGTTCTTTATGAGCATAGGCTTTGGAGTAAGGCAGCACTGGGTATAAATTCTGTGCTACAATTTACATGCTATGGCTTTGAGCCGGTTAATTAGCTTCTCTGAGCTCTGGATTTCTTATCTAATAATTGGGTCAGTAATATTTAATTTACAGGATGTTGCAAGCATTAAATAAAATACTGTCTTTTAAGCAGTACCTTAAAATGGCGATTTATCATTATTGCTGTGTGTGTGTATATATATATATA